TGAAACTGTAAAGAGCATTACTCCTCAGCCACTTGAATTGGGGGTGACTCGACCGTGTCACTCCAGGGAGCAGAGCAGCCCAGTTGGCGTCTCATCTGATGATGAACCTCCCCATCAGTTGGCTACTTCCCTTGATGGCATGACTGTTCATATTGCTAGGAGTGAACATGTCATGTTCATAGACTACAATGTAGAAATATTTATCTATAGGTACAGTTTGTTTCAGTGTTACTCAGTACTGTCTGTCTTGTGGTAGAGCTCCTGTTGTCGATGACTGCATATTGGAATTGAGAGGAACAGATGATTTATGATCACTCCAATTAAAATAACTTCCAAAGAAATTTCCATAATATGTGATTATAATATATGATTATGTTCTTCAGTAAAATAATAATCTTACTTTCAGTTGGAAAGATCATATTGACAAAGATCTAATGAGTGTAGTCTATGCACTGCAGTCAGATTGTTAGTCCTAAAAGACACTATAAAAGGATTACTGTCTTATATTTCATAAGAGTCCTAATCATTCCATTTCCAGCTGTGCAGATAACCGGCCTGGATCATCAAGTTATGAATGTTTTTATGACATTGTAGCAGGTCACATGACAGCTGTGCAGCATCACATGACAGCACATCAGCATATCAGTGTTGGACATGGGACTACTTTAAGTGCTCATTCATTCATTCATTCATTCTTTTGTAAAAAGAAAAAATGTTTTGAATGGTCTGACCGAGCTTCATAGTCGGGGGTTTGCTGTATAGAAAATATAAACAGGTTATCTGTGGTCCTAGAAACAACTTCTTGAATTAAATATTTCAGTTATAATTAAGGTGATAAATACAGATGGTCCTGGGGGGGTCCAGGACCCCTAAATAACCTCCTACACTCTTCGAATGTCTCAAAATCAAAATTCAGGAGGGTTCCTGAAATAAACTGATTATGACATTATACTGTTCGTTGGGGAAAAACTGACACTGAGATACAAATTCAGGTGAAGGTCATTGTTTAGCTGCTTCACCCACAATCAGCTTTGGTGTTCTTAACAAGAGACGCAGCACTGTTCTGCCTCAGGGTGGCACAAATTGGTTGACTCAGTTGGTCCTTCATAGCCCAGCAACTGTAACTATGCATAGTTTACCTCTGCAAAATTTTACAATATGCTGTAGCATTTTTGTAAATCTAAAAACTTGCCCATTTTCACAAGAGACTGATATAAAGACTGAATTGTTACTCATTTCTCAAACTGAAGACAAAACAGATGTGTAAGAGATGTGTAAGTGTGTGGAAGCTGCATTACCAAACTAGAAAAGTGTATAAAATGTTAGTCCTGAACAAAATTACAGCTTTCAGTGAATCAGTAGGACAATAAGAAGCTGAAAAAGTGGCAGAATTAAGTTATGATGTTCTAGAATGAAGTTAGGATAAAATAAATATCCAGAATCCATCGTATTACAAAAGTGAATGCCAAATCAAAAAACACAGGTACCTTGATAATGGCCACTTTATTAGGTACACCTACCTTGTATCCACACTCATTGAAAATTCATCAGATCCTCCTGCCATATAGATGCTGTTTGTAGTTATAATGTAGGTATTATTTGGGTGGTGGATCACTCTCAGCACTACAGTCAGTGTCACGGCAGTGTTGAGAATGAGCCACCACCCAAATAATACCTGCTCTGTGGGGGGTCCTGATTATTGAAGAACAGGTTGAAAGGGGTTAACAAAGTATGCAGAGAAACAGATGAATTACAGTCTGTAACTATAGAACCACAAAGACCACCTAAATGGTAAGCGGCCCTGATAATTATTGTATATCTTAGCTGTACAAAAAATCTTCTGTTTTTTAATTTTCTACTTCCAGAATGCCTGGAATTAAACATTAACTTGTGTTATAAGTTAATACAGTTTATTCCTGAAACGTTGAATAAAACATCTTAAACTAGTTAATGTTTAAACCCACATTCTGCATGTTCTTATTGTATACAAAATAACAAAAATGTTAATATTGTGAGAGATTTCAAACTTTTTGAGTGACACTAAGAAGGTGGTGTGTGTGGTGGTGGTGCGAGTGTATCAGACACAGTGGAGTTCTTACACGCGTCCGTGTCACTGCTGGGTGGAGAACAGTCAGCCAACAAAAAATATCCATTCAACAGTAGCAATGGGGACAGAAACTGACCGATGATGTAGAGCTAGAGGATGGCTAACACAGATAGTCTCTGTAGTCTCTAACTGCACACCTGTCAGGTTTACCAGCAAGGTCTGTGTGTCTAATTAAGTGGCAAGTAAATGTACACAGTGTTTAAAACCTCAGCACTGCTGCTGAGCCTTATACAGCACAACACACACCAACATGTTGGTGCCACTACAAGCCATGCAAACTGTACTGAGAACCATCCACCATTCCAATAATGGTGGTCCTGTGGTGGTCCTTTTCCATCGATAGATAGGGCTGATTAATTGTGCAGCAACAGGGCTCAGTAATCAAAACATCCAAAGTGCATCAGATGTAGATTTACCTGATAAAATGGCCTATTAAAGTGTAAGTAGGAGATAAAAGGGCATTTTGTTATGTTGTAGCATCACAACACTGTGTTGTAAGTAGTTCAGTTTTTTAAAGAGAAGAAATGTTGATGTTGAGCTGTTTTAGGTTAATTTATAGTGCTTTTAGGTTCATTTGTGAGGACTTTTATAACGAAGAGCCTAAATACAGGTGGAGTGGTGGGTTGTCCGGAGTAGAGCAGAGGGCTGTGTTTTTAGCTGTTAGCACTGGAGAGACTGTGTTTCGTCTCACCGTGTTTGGTGCTGTTTTTAGCAAATCAAAAATAAAGCTGCTTTATGGACCGTAACCTCGAGTCATCGAAGTTTCTCCAGAAAACCCAGGACATTACGGTATTTTGCAGTTTGCCTTTATTTAAAAAATGAATATCTGAATCCCAAAATTAAAATACCTACCCAGTGAACGAATATCCAAATCAGTAAACACCATTTTAGCTGCATGCACAAACGCAATTTAAGACTGGACTATGCACATTGGAAGTCGTGTGTCAACAACGTCCAGAAATGCTGCTGACTTCTCTGGGCTGGAGCTCATGTAAAATGGACTGCTGCACAGTGAAACCGTGTATTGTGGTATGACGAGTCAACCTTCCAGGTTGTTTATGGACTTTGTGTTCTCTGAGACAAAGAAAAGGACCATCTTGATTGTTAATAAAGGCCAAAAGCCAGGCTCTGTCATGGTATGGAGGTGTATTATTGGGTAACCTGCACATCTGTGAAAGTACTGTAAATGCTGAACACATTTTGGAGCAACATATGCTGCCTTTTAGGTGTCGTCTTCTTCAAGGGAGTCCATGTTTATTTCAACATGACAACACAAAGCCTCATTCTGCACTTGTTACAACAGCATGGCTGCATAGAGAGTGCAGGTCCTCGACTGGTCTGCCTTCAGTACAGACCTCTCTCAGTCTCCCACTGAAAACATGTCTTATTAAGTGAACATATGACAACAAAGGCCCTGTATGTTAACGTGTGAAGACTCAGATAAAAGAAGAATGGCAAAAAATTCCACTTTCAAAACCGGATCAGTTTGTGTCTTCAGTCTCCGAATGTTTAGTAAGTGCTGTTAAAAGGAAAGGTGATGTAACACAGCGGTGCTCCCAACTTTTTTGGAATGTATTGCTGGTATCAAATTTGAATTAAGCATATATTTATAAAGTTTGTAAGGTAAAACATCAGATGTTGTGTTTTTGTGCAATTTTCAATTTTATACATTTCAAACAGGATTTTCTAATCGCTGCTTTCTGTTTTTATTAGCATTTCACATACTGTCCAAATCTTTTTGGAATTGGGTTTGTACAATCAATGCCAGTAGCAGACTGTAACATTATTTCTTAAACTGGATACACTAGAAATATGATGGCACAAGATAATCTTTTGAACAATCTTGTCATGTTGAAAGTTCATATAAACACGTATGTCACTACAATGCAAGACAGAAATTCATTAAAATATGGTGTGGCTAAAACTACACAGCTTCTGTTTGATCATGGAAAAAAATATGGACTGTGGTCATGTACATGATTTATGGTCCAATCACTTTATGGTCCAATCACTTTAAGTCACTTGTGTTAATGCTTAATTTACAGTGAAACTGTACACAAAATTGAAGTCATGAAACAGGTGTTGCTTTTTGTAGTTGATTTTATTTTTCATTAATTTTATCTTATCTATGTGCACTTTGTGCTACAAGAACGAAATTGAAGCATTGCAGTTGTAATTGTCTTACATTTAACCAACAAACCAACCAAGATGTGCATATTGTTATATATTTGCACATAATAAGCATGTCATAAGGCACGGTGCTGCAGGCAAAATGATTAATATGCATAATTATCAATCAAAAAAAATAAAAGAGAATCATTTTAAACATGTATTCTATAAGTAAATGTGATTCTGTTAGATCTTATTGCTTTTAGCGTTGAACTGATTGTTTCTGGTAGTGGCAGATGATGAAGATTTTATTACAGTAAATGAACATGTTGAAGACAGAAAGACTCAATTAGACAATGTGCTATGTGATCTTCTCAATTCCCTAAAACCTGCAGGGAAAAGGCCCTGCTGAACATAGACCAATGGAACCATTAGGATTAAAACCTAGTGATTTTGCTTCTTGGCTCAATGGTTACCATTAGAGACCAATAGTTTTCTGTAAAACTCCTTTTGATCCTATTAGAAAAACATCAACTTCATTTAGAATCAGTCACAGGTCACCTATTAAACCATTAGTAACATAAACATGAACCTAAAAGCCATTCTGATTTTCACTCCTGTCAAAAGCAAATGCCATTCATGAACGTATCTATGTGAAAACAGTTTAGAGAAAGAAACTAAGAAAAATCATTTCAGAATAAGTGTATACACTATAAATGATTTCTGAGGACTATCTGAACCATGAAATGTTTATATTCAGAGACAGACACTGTTCTCTATGAAACATGGTTATTTTAGCTATTTATAATGGGCCAGAGGATGGTCACTCCATTCAGGCAGGCTGGACAGCTTCTCTTCAGTGCTGGGCTGGATGGGCCAGCCCCAGGCTTTGAAGAAGGCAACCAGATTCCTCCCTACCACCTTGGAGAAGGTCTCAGCGTACAGGTTCATCTTGTCATCTTTGTCTCTTGGTATGTTCTTCATGTCATGGTAAGCTGCAAAGACTTTCTTGAAGGCATCCCAGCCAAACTGTTCTTGCAGCTTTGAAAGAAAAATCAAAGATAAAACTTAACAGGCGATGACTAAGAAGGGCTGATGGAATGGAATATGTTTCACATGAGTGCTTTTTATTTCACACCAAAAACTTTTTTTTTCTATTTTCAGTGTGAATTCAACTTTTCAAACAATAAGTAGATATTTTTATGATCTGTGGTGTTTTACAAAACTAGTACTGTGTTAGAAATACCTTTTGGTTAAAAGTAATATTATAATAATTAAAATATTAAACATAAAATCACTCTAAAATTAATCTAAAATGAAAGGAAGCGTGCAGTGATGTATCTGCGTCAGAGATATAGTCAAGTCACACAACTTCTAGTCTTGCTGGGCCAGACATGATCGCATAACATGAATCTACATTTGGGGAACCAGAACCATGAGGGAATTCTGGCTAAATGTTGGTGGGAATGGAGACTCATTACACCAGGAACAAACTGAGACTTTTCTCCACAATCCAACACCCAGAGTAGGAGGAGCTCAAAGTATTGACAACAGTGCGCTTGTCAACATTAGATATATCTCAAAGAAAAGGCTGCAGTCAAGGTAGGAGAGGTAGGAGAGGCTAGCTAGCGGTGGTATTTGGTTTCTTTAGTTTAGACCTGGTGTTAACAAAGGTGCTAACAAACACTGGAAGTCAGTAGTCACCAAAAGTGTTTCCACAAATACATGCCAAATCTTCATATATGTGCATCAAATTACATTGATAATGAATATAAACTTGTTTTAAAAAACGATTTAGTAAAATGGCATGAATAGACCTTATTTACACATCTAAGCTGAGCTACAGTATCATCAGCATAACGTCCTGCTTTCTGGTACCATTTGGCCTCCAAACTCTGAGCACAGGGGCGTGCCATAAAACGTCACTATGCAGGTACATAGCATTAGCACAGTGATACCTAAGACTTGCTTACTGTAAGAGTGTTGGAAGTTGCAAATCAAATCATGATAAATGTACAGAAATGCAGTGTTGTGTTCTAATTGAAAAAACAGAACAGACATCTTTTTTATGCCCAATCAAGTTTTTGCCACAACACAATTTTTAACCCAGGTTAGGAGGAGGATGTTTATATCTGGGGATCTTTCTCTTGTTGTGTTGCTTTTGCGTTCTCATGCATTCGAACTTATTGCTTTTATTAAAACATCCAACCAAAGTCATATTAGTGTGTGTGAAAATCACAACTATGCTGATTTGTGCAAGACTGGCATGAAGACAAAAGGTGCACGAGCTGGAGAACCCTATCTGCATGGGTTGCTATGGTAACAGCGTAAGCGTCAGTAACTACGTAGCTACACTGGTGACATGGATTTCAAACGCGGATACAGGAGAGATGGAGGAGCATCATCTCACCCTCCAAACTCTTCAAAATTCTCTGGTATAGGCATGAATCTTTGGCACTAAAGACACTTTGAAATCTGATTTGAGCCTCCAGACTGAGACGCACATAAAAATCTGATTAGAATTGCATTTCAAACCACCTCCAAATGTGATTTGCAAAAATTTCTTTTTTTTTTTGGTGTGCAGACTGTAAAAAGACAATCTGGATTTGCCAAAAATTTGGATTTGGCTGACTGTCTGAACAGCCTACGAGACAAATGACTTTCAGATGTAAAACAACATTCAGCACCATTTTTGCTGAGTGCAGTGAAGCCGCTGTTGCTTTACATACACTCATCTTTATCTTGTTAGGGTTAGAAAGCAGTATTGACATCTGTCTGTATATTGTTCATTTCTTTTTTCACTATTTCACCCAATAAAAATATTTTAGATTTACTTCAGTTGTTAAATATGGTTCTTATTAAAAGTGAATGGACATCCAAAATATGCCATTGTTCATGTACAAAAGAGGTTTAATAAGCATCCAAAACATACATTAATACATTATAATACATTATACTATGATATTTAGTGGAACAGTCAGTAATCTCTATATATTATGTATATTAAAAATCTTTGACTATAATGGCCAGTACTAGTTGCAACCACTGATGATTTTATTGAGGCAGGCAACACTGACTACCTGTCAGTTACATTAGGCTATAGTAGTTTAAGTTCGAGACAGTTATCCCTACTCATATTCAACATCACTGACCTGCAGGTAAGTCTCCAGTGCTGTCCAGACATTCCAGTTGTTCAGATTTTGTTGTCCGTCGATGTATGTCTGTATTCGGCTCTGCCGTTTGTCTGCGGTCAGTTCCCTATGAGCGTTTGCCCTGTTCACACCCAGCACCACCTCATGTACATATACAGACCACAGGTTGCAGGTACACTCAGTAGTGTGTGGTGGAAACTCCCAGTCTGAGCGTTGCTGGTTATGGCCCAATTCATGGACTGGGCCCCAAAAACTTTTACCAGCTACATATGGTTTCACCAAGTCAGGGGCAGATGTAGAGTGCATCATAATGGGGTAACCTGCATGCATAAAGCCTGTGGAAACAAGACCATCATCTTTAAATAATATGAATAGATCATGACGGTAAATGTCTGTAAATCACATAATGACATTTATGGTAGTGATGCTGGTTCTTTTATTTAAGTTCTGATAAAACACTTTTACACAATACAGACCAGCTGAGATCTGAACATCAGCGACGAAGCGTTCCTTGCGGGTAAACTTTCCAGGCTTAGCAGCCAAGTCAGCTACGCCCCTCATAATGGAATCCCAGAGAGCGGCCACTTCGTCTGGACGGTCCAGGTGTCGTATCACGTCTGATGGCAAGGTGATGATGAGATTCTCAAACTCCAGCTCTGCCCAAGGTGCTGGTGCTTTACGGATCTCAGCGACCCAGTCAGATACGCTGGTCTCTCCTGAGAGAATGGTTAATATTCATAGTTTTTACTTTTATCATGTACTGCAGTAGCTCACTTTGGCTTACTAAGAATGAGTAAGTATTAAATAAATGTACCAGACTTGTAGTACGGTGCTTTTACAGCTGTCTGTATGACGACCTCCATCTCAGGTACTGTACTTCTAGGAGGTGCGATCAGGTATATGAGTCCTCCCCACAGATTCCAGACTTGCAGATTCTCTCTTTCCAAAGGGAAACGTACAAACACCACCGGAGCTCGTTTCAGTTCATCTGCGCTGCTTAAGTCATCTGTTTGACAGCCGATCTGCACCTGCAAGTACGTGGTATTTAATTACGCATATCAAAATACCCACAATACAAGATTAAAATTGGTTACAGTAGGTTTGTGACATATTTCATTGCAAACCAGACATATTGATACAAAGTAAGTTTTCTAGTTAACCTAGGAGATAAAACAACTGCTGCTGTGGACTAACATTTTTTGGCATATATGGAATTTGGCTATTTATCACTGGAAAACGCACACAAAACCAAGAACAAAAAAGAAAGAAAAAATACAAGGAAAGTCTATAATATAGCACTATTGATAAAACAATGATCCAAGTGGGACATGACCTTCTTTAATGGAAAAAGTGTACAGTAACTTAATATCATCCCTTAAATCTCACATTAAAAATTAAAAAGGGGTAGAATAATGAAGTGATACCTGCCAACCCTTTCCTGTGATTGTGCCAGGCACTGTAATGTTGGTCTTCATTCCAGGAGAAAGATACAGACCTGTACTTATCCATTCTGAATGATCTGAAACGAGAAAGCAAGCTGATTGAAAATATTAAACATTTGATAGTTTAAGGATGTTCAACTAGTGTGCATTTTATTATATGCCTTGACAGTCAAAACTCAGCCAAAAGCTCAGCCTGGAGTGTCAAATTAAAAGGGTTATTCCTCCTTTTGCACCATGTTTTTCCAGCCATAAAACACCTGCCTTATCTTCTAAATCAGGGGTGCTTTATCTGGGTCCTGGAGATCTTCCACCCTTGAGAGTTCAAATTCAACACACCTGGCTCAAATAGTCAGAAGCCCCTGAAGGCCTTGAAAACCTGGATCAGGTGTGTTAGATTAGGGTTGGAGCTAAACTCTGCAGGGTGGTAGTTCTCCAGGACAAGGATTAGGCACCGCTTACATCCTATTGTCTAGCAATACAAGTATTATTAATTATGCAAATAAAATACCATAATGTATATGAGTCATTTTGCTTGTGCATAGAGTCATTATCTGTCACACTTCTCCTCTCTTGCCTAACACGCTCCAGGACTCCATTTCCCAGAATCCCAATCATCATGACATCACCCCTTCCACCAATCACAGGCCTCTGCCTCGTTCAATCACCTGAGTACTGATTCAACGCACCTGTATCTGTTTGTCTTAGACTTTAAAAGGATCCTGGTTTGTTCTCCTTTTTGTGAGGTATTGTCCCACTTCTGGTTACTGAGTGTTTAGCTTCTATTTTCATGGCATGTGTACTGAACCCATTGCCTGTTTTCTCGATCGTTTCTCTTTTGGATTTGCCCTTATTGCTCTGGTTGCCTGTGTTTTTGTATTTTCTGGTTTTTGACTTTTGCCTGTTTTTGGACTTGCCCTAACTTGTTTTGCTCACAGTAAGTTAATCTAGATTTTGTATTTTTTTCATCTAAATAAATACATTAATTAATTAATAAACTAGGCACATGCTTCATTTCTTTTACATACTCATACATGGTTACATGTCTACATGCCTTAACCCCTAGAATCTTAAGCATGCACTTTGGGGCTGTTTGCATGGCTCTTATTCTCCTACAAGTCAGGAAAGGGTTAACTTACAGATAGGATACACCTATGTATCATGTTTGTAAGTTAACCCTTTCCTGACTTTTAAAGCCTAGCAAACTGCCACTTAGGCATAGTGTTCTAAGGGTATTTATAGCATCAACGCAGTCAGCTAAGGACTACACCAGTCTGTCCAGTCTTATTGAGCCCACTCTTTCAGAAACTAAGTGTACATTTCAGCCTTTCACCTGCTGTCCCAAATTGAGAACTGGGATTGAGGACTGGTGATTTCGCTAGTCAGTCAAACTGGCCCAGTGTGCCATCATGTCTGCTGAACACACAGACACCCTACATTTGTCATTCTGGAATGTGGGAGTGTCAACGTTGTCATGAAGCACAAAGAAGATTGGGCTAATATATACACAGGAAAGAAACTGGTATAATTCTTACCTGAATAGACTGGCCCAATCATTAAGGGAATTACGTGCTCAGCCAAGTATTAAAGAAGCAATGATGCAATAATTGTTTTTGTTTCATTAACTGTGTGATCGTTTCTTTAACTGTGTGATCTGTATATGTAGGGAGATCTATGGGGAAAAGCATGATGACCTAGTTAGTTATTGTTCTTTACCTGCTGTGTTAGCACTGATCCAGACTTTCGCATCGGTCACAGTTGGTAGTTTAGGTGTGTCTACGATGAGGTATGACAGAAGTTCATCAGTGTCTTCGCTGAGCCTGGATAACTCTGTCCCCACCCGGAGTAGCAGGTGATCCTTTGCACTTTTAACAGGACGTGTAGGAGACACCTGTGGAAATCCTGCCTTAAATATGTCTGTGAGAAGTGCAACTACTGACTTATACATGTCACAGTCGAATGCCTGCATCCAGAGATAAATAATGCAGTCACTGCCAAGCCTCTTCAGAAATTGCTGTTCATAATCTCCCAGCTGCTGACCCTGAAGCACATGTTGTGCAAAATGCTGCAGCAAATCCTGGAAATGATACATCTGTGTAGAGGAAACATCAGGATGCTTCACTTGTGGCACCTTGTACTTCCCAGCTTTCAGAGTTTTCCCCAAGAGGCTTAATCCCATCTTGTTGGGGATCAGATTTCCAGGGCAATCTCTCATCACATTGCGGCCAGGATTGCACTGGGCCCAATGCCAAGCATGTCCACCTATCAGGAGACCACCACCACCAGCAACAAATTCCTGGATGTCTTTAGACTGAGCATCAATGTAGGAGGTGCAAACAAAGACACTTAGGTCTTCCTTAAACCCAGTCAACTCACATTGTAGTCCCAAGTTCTTCAGCAGGGAGTAGGCCGCCTTAAGTTTAGGTAAGACTCCGATAACCCCATTTCGCTTTTTATCAAGCCAGTGGACAGCATTGGTCATGAAAGTGGACAATGACTGAAGGCCTAGATAGGTGTCATGGCTGGCCACAATCACCCGTCCCTGTCCAAAGTAAGCTCCAGCAAGGAATGTCTGTCCGTCTGGGGTGAGTCCAATAGGAAATGCTGAAGATCCATGCACGAATATGTCAGATGGCACAGCGTCACACTGGATATCAAATTCAGACACACCTTGTAAAAGGAATTCCAGGTCATCTTTGAAATTCATGCCTTTCCTGGGGAAAAACACAGATATAGATTAAATGTGTCTTTTTCTGAATCAAGGTAGCAGCTTTGGTGAGGAAAACTAGACACGGCCTGATCTTTATCATATTGACACAATTTTGTTGCCTAACTGAATGAACATGTTAGGTTTTATTTATAACGGTCCAGAAATAGTGAGTTGGGAGAGACAATGAGAGCATTGTAGCAATGCATTTGGATTAGCTCACAGCTACATGTAGTCAAAGTAGAACGCTCTTTATTAGTGGTTCCATGGAGCTTGAACGTCTCTTTCCCAATAGTTTTTTACCTCATACTTTGACAGTCATACTATCTCTCAACGTTGTAGTAAACACAATGGGCCTCATTCACCAACCACTCTCAGGAAGAAATTTCTTCTTAAAACCTACTTACGCAGTTTTTATGAAGATTCTGATATTGACAATTCTGTGGTTTCAGAAAACATCATGAATCTGATGTAAACTGTTTCTCAGGACCTTTTTCAACACATTTAAGAAAACTTAGGAAGATACTGTGGAATGAGGCCCACTGTTTGTATGGGACAAACACTGCATTCCATACCAACTTAGACTTAAAAGACTATTAAATCTAATGCTACGATTAACCGGTAATTGAACTGAGTATGCTGAAAAAATTAAATAAAATGTGGCAAAGGTTTGGACACCCTTTCAGTCATTCCACTAGTGTTATTTCCTTTGTAATATCTCCGATTCTGTTTGACTCAAGCCGTAATCTGAGTCGTAACAATAACTCATTCTTACAAAGCAAGAGAAAATTATAAAACATATCTAAGTTTGATGCATTATGAACCAAAGCAAAAGCCCCACACCATCAGCAGACAGCCTCAAGTGTGGTTTAATCTCAAAATGCAACTCAACACTGAATCCATGGCATTTTGCAAAAATCAATGGAATTTGGGAATCAAGTGCTGTGGACTGGTGCAATAAAAATCTTTTGGCTACAGAAAACCCTTTGGCTACAGTCACCAAAGATAAAAAAGGAGCAGCATTTCAATAAAAGTACACCTTGTCACATTGGAGTGGGTAGGGGTGGATCTATTGTGCTTTGGAGTTGTGTGCCAGCCAGTGGCACAGGATATCTTGTGGGCATAGACAGAATAAAGGATTCTACTAAATCTATCTATCAAGAAATCCAATCCAGTTGACTTCTTTTCATTTAAAGTTAATAAATTGAGTAATTTGATTATATTGTGCTGTATGGTTTGATACAAGAACAGCCATAAAAATAGAAATTAAGTCAACATTAAACATTAACATCAAAGCTCATGGAGGAGTACTGAATTGTAGAGTTATACCACTAAACTGTTTTTCATGATTTTGTGTTCAGGACTTTTTTGGGTGGGCCTGAAATCATGACGCACTGATACTTAGCATTATCAGTGATTCTATAGATGAAGCGAATTCTGTGCATTTGTGTCAGCTGAAGCGCTGCTAGCGGCTTCATTTCAATCCAAGAGCTTTGCTGCCTAACCCAGCTAATGGGTATGCTAACGTTTGTACGAAGTCCACTTCCTTTTCGCCAGTTTCTTGTTCCAATTTTCCTGTTCCACCTTAAATGGTGCATCAGTTACATTCTGGCGAGCGCAAAGCTGAAGAGAGGCTGTACCTTTCCCGAGACTGGGGGTGGTTTCAGTGGACACGCCCCCTGCTTTTCACAGCAGAGAATACTGATTATTTTTTCACAATTTTGCAACCTAATTTGTTTTACCTGGTGATTTTTTTTTTAATTAATCAAATTGGGTTGAGTAGTTAATAACACGTTTTACTGCGATGTGACAAACTCAGAACACTAGTAATATCTTAATTTTCAGAGATTTTACAGTAAGGCAGTGGGGTTTGGAGGATGGCGGTGGGGTTGGAGGGTGTGAGGCAGTGAGGTTTGCAGGATGGCGGTGGGGTTAGAGGGTGTGAGGCAGTGGGTTTGAAGGATGGTGGTGGGGTTTGAGAGTATGGGGTTTGGGGTTTGGAGGATGGCAGTGGGGTGGATGGCAATAAGGTGTCCTTCAGATATCTACCCTGAAGGTGGCGATGCTAATTATCTCAAAAAAAAACAAAAAAAACTAATAATTAACTGATTTTTACATGAGACATTGATGTGAAATGGCATTGTTTTATGGTTTTATGCCTGTTCTTGAGCGTGTGAACAAAATGAAAAAGCTGAAATGAAATTAATTTATTAATGTAAGTAATTGGTGTAGGTTATAAATAAAATCCTCTGTCTAAAGCATTCAAATCTCGGGGCTACTAACTGGATCTCTCCGATAGATAGCAATGTGTGGACAGAATAAATCAGAGCTACTTCCAATAACAAAGGGGGTCCCTCAAGGTTCGATCCTTGGACAAATATTATTTAATAAAAATAATTCTGACATTGCCACCTCAATTGTTGACTGCAAAGTACACTTATATGCTGATGACACTATCTTGTATTGCTTGACTGATGACATTGGTACCTGCAGTAGATAAACTACAGAATTGTTTTAATGTCCTACAGTCGGCTTTTTACAACCATAAACTGGTTTTAAATGTTGAGAAAGCAAAATTTATGCTGTTTTCCAGAGCCTCTAACATTGATTTTAGCACTTTCAAAATCACAATGCTGAAGGGATCTGACATTGGAAGAGTCAATGAGTACAACTACATTGACATATGGCTAGATGACAAATGCATTTTTAAACATGTTAACAAACTTATATGTAAACAGACAAAAACTTGGCTCCCTGTATCTTAACAAAGTATGTTTATAATAACAACTGTAGCAGCTTGGGTAGAAAACTTGGTAAGACTGTATGCCAGCGGAATATGGAGGAGCTGGATTCAGAATGAGATTGGTCAGACGGTCTAGCATTTGGGTATCTGAAGCATGATATGGTTAGGTAGAGAAGTTTAGTCAAGGCAGAAAAGGGGAACCCATCCTCCTCTGGTCGACACCGGATTGTGAAGATTGTGTTGAATGTGGCAGGCAAATGGGTTGGAATGGGAATAAAGCAGATTATATCCTAAATGAAATTAACATGAATCAAGAATGACTGTTAGAGGTAGCTGGTCCATACGAGGGTTGGTGGGCTTGTTGACAGGCAACTGGATGATTCTCTGGCCATTGCGGGAGGTTATTTGGCATGGAAGATCCTGTTGGCAACAGCACAGTTGTTTAATTATAACTTTGGATGAGAATCACTTGATTGCTTGCTTGGAATTTAAGCCCCCAAAAACTGACAATGGCAAAAGGACATGGCTCCCAGGACTGAGAGCTGAACGGGATGAGAGTAAAGGCAACAGCATGAGAGGAGTCAAATCAGCAGTGGCCGAACGTCAAACGTCAAAGAGACTAGGAGAGCAGCAGGATACAGGCAGCATTTTTCGAATGAACCAATAATAGTCCAGTCAGAGAGGAAAATAAAGAAATGAATGGAGGCAATATAAGGCTCATCCAAGACGGAGCTGACCTGAGG